GAGGGAGGGAGGGAGGGAGGGAGGGAGGGAGAGAGAGACCATCCCTGCTTGGTCTTACGATGCCACCCACGTGTCTCCCTTAACCCTATATTGCCTAGCCTGCATCATTTCCGCACTTCATCTCATCCTGAGTTCAAGGAGTCCACACGTTTATAAGCTACACTGGGGAGCTGAGACATCATTTACCAGTGGGGGGTTCAGGAGGCGACTGAGGTGGGTGAACCGTCCTAAGGGAGCATTCCTCCCACAGATTGACCGTATATTCGGGAATTTTACAACCCAGCAAGGCTGCACATAAAATCCAATGGGCGCACAGATGAAAGCAGCCCAATCCTAAATATATATCATACATTTCTACAATTATTTCTTCCTCGTTTCCTTCACTCCACGACGCCTCCCCCCCTCCCCCCACTCTCCGTCTCCTTCATACAGACCATGTTTTTTCTTTGGGGCTGTGCATATTGTTGTTTACTAACTCTCACTGCACGAGTGACACAGAGCAAAGTGACTAGAGCACCATGTTTTTGAAACTACCTTCTGCTGCCTGAATAGAAAAGCCGGTGATTTTAAATGAATTCGGGGCAATTTTCAGTCTAGATACAGCTATAATGATCAGGCTTTCTATCTGGGTGAAGAGTATAAGGTGTGCAAATCCACGTAGAAGCTGAGGTGCACAAATACGCATGGATGGCCAGCTCCTACTACCGTCTTCCCCCGAACATAACCCATATGCGCTGTAAACGAGTACAATGCACAGGTTGCTTTTTATTTGAGTACAACGCATATTCGTTCTATTCGAACAGCCTTTATTTTCGAAAACAACGCATATCCATTTCGAAAACATGGGACCAGTCAAAGCTTGGGACCAAAAGAGCTGCGAGGACTTTAAAATGTGATTTTTTTTAGGACCAGAATATAGTATTTGAAATTATCGTGGAATTCCACGTTTTGGAAGCTATGGGAGAATTTCAAAAACATTGCGAATGGTAGACTCGTTTTTTTTTCTTTTTTTTCCGTATGCTGACGGATTTATTTAGTGGCAAACTGGCAATACAATTGTGGGTCTGGGAAGCAGCAGAGATCAATTTGCTCACTCACCCGATACGCGTGTCGAAATCCCACATAGGCGACATGTGCAACTGCAGCAGGAGCCAAGCCAACCATGACCTGCAGCCATTTAGCCAACCGCACAAGGCATCGCTGACGACTGAGATTTGTCGAAACGATGTTTTTGCAAAAGAGTACATCATCAGCAACACACAGCTAACTTCCAAATGGACCACAGCAGAGAGAGAAGGGGGGGTTGGGGAGGATGGGGCACAGAGAGAGAGAAGGTGGGGGGTAGAGAGAGACGG